TTCAGCTTTACAATGCATGACCCAAATTTATGTTTCTTTGGTGACAAAAGACTGTCAACAGTATGCTACCAACATGTTAAAAGACAAAAACAAACACACACACACTCAGTATGTCTCTTTGAGGTGAGATTTTTGGAAATTATTCTACTGTTGTGGGGTTTTTGCTGCTCAAAGTCATAGAAATATACCATCTATTGAAATACATATGAACACTTAAAAAAACTTAGAAATAAGAATTTCTAAGCTGTTTAAAATTCTCCCAAATATACAGTTTCAGGGCTTGAATTCGTTTGTTGAGAAAGAATAACTAATTCACATTAAAATTTGCTAACAAAATTTCAACTAAACTCTGGCATATTTGGTAAATAAGATAGAAAAATAGGAATCATAATTAGGTGAACACTATCGATGATGAACTCCATTTGGCCCTTGAAATTTTGCATTGCATCTTTTCTCTGCTACATTAGTCATAAAACTAGATTCTAAATAAATCAAGTGTAAAGCCAGACCATCAGATCCGGCTATCACGAAGGGTTAAGTGATGACTGTAATACAATTAGGACTATTGTTCTCAAAGACTATATCTTATCAATAATACCTTGTGCTGTTAGTGAAATGACTTTATAAATATTATCCATGTCATGTGTAACATTACTTTAAAATGTCTTTGTGTGTGTGTTTTATAATAAACTGTACTAGGGGGCGGGGGAGAGTGGTAAAGGGAAAATGGAGACAACGATACTTGAACAACAATAAAAAAGGAATGAATTAATAGAGAAAGAAAAAATAAAAATACACTGTACTAGAATATGTTAGTATAATAGTACATGTAGAAAGTTTGTTAATAATAAATATATATGCAGTGGGTTTGTACACTCGGAATCTTTACCAACGGGGTACACAATTTAAGAAAATAGGTCGGAAATAGCTGTTTGGTGGAATTATAAATAATTGTAAAGCCTTTGTCACCCAACAGAACTGGGCAAAATGCTAGGTACTCAGCATCTCGCATTGTGCTGACTCGCTGGACACCTCTGAATGCGAACGGTGGCACTTTACATGTTTTGGGTGTGTGCGAATCCCCCCTCAGAGCGTGCATCTCTCGTGGTGGATAATTCTCCTGCATGAGTGTATTTGAGTAGGATACCACGGCCGTAGAAGCAGCAGACACTGGTTGTAGTTTCTAAATTTAGGTCACCTGCGTCTAACTCTTGCCTCCCCCCACCCCAATAATTTGTTAGCTACGTGACCTTGAGTAGTTGCCACCTTCTCCACGTCTCCATTTCCTAATATGTGAAATACATCAACAGCACCTGCCTCATGGCTTTGTGGCGAAGATAGAATGAGTTAATCTGTGTAATGTGTGAGAGGATGCATATGTGTGAGTGTGAACCCACATTCGTGACTGAGACCATGGGTCTGGGCGTATACACAAACACACCTCCATGTGATCTGGGTGAATACACTGAATATGTGTATATGCCATGTAATTTCATGTATATTTCTGGCTCTGTTTGTATTTACATTGAATAATAACATGTTTAACAAGATTAATAGCCACCATGCAGCATGAGCTCTGGCTTTAATTTAAGCACTTGACACAGATTATCTTGTTCGTCTTTGGAAAAAATAGGATATAACATGACATTGTAATGTACTTTTTATATTCCCATTTCACAGATAAGAAACAGGCCCAGAAGGGCTAAGTAACTCACTTAAATCCACACAGCTAGCATATGATCCAGCCAGAAAGTCTGGCTTGTTAAATCATTGCTTACTCTACCCTTGAAGATTTAATAATGTTATTTAATATTCCTTTTAATATCCTGTATCTTCACTTGTACGGTGCTTAGTATTTTATAAAGTGTCTTCTCATACAGTAAGTCTCATAACCAGCCAGTGGAGTAGGTCAAGGTTACTGTCCTCACGAGGAGAGAAACTGAGAGAACTGAGGCCAGGGGTGTCTTTAGGTGAAAGTGTTTCTGTTTACAGATATCCTGGGTGCCTCTGTGCACAGGACGTCATTCACCGTAAACATACTGAGACCATATAATATGTCAAACTCAGACATCGGTGCCGGGAACACGAGCTACAGACCTCCCCTGGAAGCACCACAGCCCGATGGGAAACACAAATATGACACACTGTGTCATCTCTAGGGGACATATGAATAGAGTGCTCATGGAGGGTGGGAGGAGGGACCGTCTGTGCCAGCGAGGTCTTAGAAAAGGCGAAGGTGGCAATGGGGGTGGGGGGCTTTCCTGGAACAGAGAACACGTGTGTGCGTGTGAGTCCATGCCTGAGCCCCCGACAGCGTGTCTAGGCGTGTCTACACCTGGGTCTGAGAGGGAACCTGTTTGCAGAGGCTTACCCGTGTATTAACTTACGCACACTCAGGCTGTACGTGTGGAATCAGGAAGTCTGAATGGAAAAGAGAACGTGTAGATGCACTCACACCGTAGCAGAATCTAACCCATGTGTCCCCCATGGTTCCCTCCTTCCTCCAATACCAGGGTAACCAGAGATACCGGTTACCTCCCACTCTAGCAGTTGCTCAGTGACCTATGGCGGTTAGATCTTCAACCTGTAGTCAGAACGTGTAGCTGTGTAATAGAGGTAGCTGTCCTCTGTGAGTAACGGGAGGCGAGGAATACAGGTACCGCAGGTACACACCTGTGTGCTTACTTCTGGTGTGTGTGTGTGAATGAGTCCTACTGGCCCCTCCTCGCCAGACTGGGGAAACCTCCCTTCTCCCTTCATCTTCACTGCCTCGAGGGGCTCATCCACTCTCCTGTTTCCATTGCCCCTGAGTGCAACTGACTTCTGCTTCTACGTAAATGTCCTGTGCTGGTGCCGGGCAAAGGCAAGGCTGGAAAGTGCCGGTGCCCATTTTTTGTGGAGGCACCCCGACCCCATTCCGGAACAGGCATCTGCGGTAGGATGGAAAAACGTGGACAAAGGCTCACAGGACTGGTGGCAGCCAGAAGAAACCCAGAGGGTCACTCCCCAGGGAGGCCTGGTCTACCCCCTCTCCTGATGACAAACCCTATGTTTAGGGCCAAATTGGCCAAGGAGGGGTCGTGAGGACTCTTCTTTCCACAAATGTTCCCCCAAGGGTTGGGGAGGGCGGTGGCAGGAAGGCTATGATGCTCTTCATTTCTTTTACCTTTGCCCTATGGAAAAAGCTAAAACAATTGCAAATACTATTTAATCGATGGTGGCTAACAGTATCTCCATAAAGTGGCAAAATAATTGAACTGGATACTCCCTTTTGTTATCAGGCAGATAAATTCAGAGCCACAGGGTCGTGTAAGGCAAAGGCATTACATGCTGAATACCCTGGTGATTTGTGTGTGTTTACATCCCAGCCCAGCGCACAGAGAAATATTCACAGATTAAAATGAGCACGAATGAACGGCGATATTCAACACATGTAGCATGCCATATTTTAAGTTGAATGAATGGGTGGGTGAAGAGAAAAACAAACACATTCGGGGAGTCCAGTGGTCTCATACAGTGATCCCTGCCATTATAATGCCTGGATTTTTGTCCCCCACCCCACCCAGGACAGTCTATTGAGAGATTTTTATCTTGTATCGGAAAATTAGCCCAGTACCAGGATATTTCTCAAAAATACGGAGATGCTCACTCAAGCCTTGGTGAAGTGCCTTTTAAAATGTAAATGGCCACTAGAAAGGGTAGCCAGTGCGTATCTGAATATATTTATTGTGGTACCAAATACAGTATGTTTTCCCATGTCCTGGGCACAAATGTTTTCCTACACATTAAGGGAAGATACTGTAATTTGCTGGGAGAATTTTTCCATAATCAATATGTTGTTTATTTGCATCAATAATCTGAAAAAAGAGAAATAGTCTGGTTATGGCTATAGATTCTGCTTAGAGGAAGGTTTCTATCATGGGCTGCTTTCAACTGTTATATTTTATGGCACAGATTCAGTGGGAATCTGATCTGCTAAAATATTTGGGCTGTGGAAACTCCAACACTGTGACAGATGTCAAGTCCAATTAAGTGACTCATGTCCAGGTTTCTGTCCAATAGGATTTCCCATTAAATATCAATTTAGGGGAAAAAAATTCCATCCCCCTTCTTAAGCCTTCATCTCTGCCACCATCACCAGGCTGAATCAATTGGTACCAGGAGAGCCAAGAAGCCCCGTGCATCTCCGCCTCCGGCTGGCTCTCTCGCCTTTCTCTGCTTCCCTGTCACCGTCCCTCCGGGAGAGGTTCTCACCAGCCTTCCTCCACGCATCTCTGGGCCACTGACTATGTGTATTTTGCTACAAGGTAAAGAAAGGAGGGGCTGGGGGGTGGGAGATGCAACGGAACCTGGAAAGACTTTAAAACTGGACATAGGTGTCTGTTTCTACAAGGGACAAGTAAATGAGGGAAGGGGAGGAGGCGAGTGTAGCCCCGAGTTACAGTATTGTGTTCCTGGGAACTGGGGAGACATCAGCTGAACAAAGCCTTATCTCAAAAAAAAATCACTTCTGAGCAAGATCGCATCTCTGCCTCGCACTCCCCAGTTTCCACTCAGCCCTACTGAGGGAAGGGGAGGAATCCTGCCGCCGAATCTTATCTTAACCATCTTTCTCATTGATTCTCCCGCTATTAGAAAGTGAAGGCATCAGCCCTGGGATGTGACCCTGTTTATCTATCTGCGCATCTCTTTTGTTATTTACAGAGACCTAGCGGAGGAAACCGGGCAGGAGACTTTTCAACACGCCGTGTCGTTTGGGGCGGGGGGCACAAAATCAACGAATTTCCAGAAATGTTTGAGAACAATTAAAAGGAAAAGACGATTTTTGATCTACCAACTAAGTAAACAATCAGTCATACCGTCCGCATCCTGAGACCTTAATCGTCCCTCGCTGTGGACACCGGCGAGATGAGAGCTGCTCTTTCACGTTTGAATGTAATAAGTATTTTCTGCTTTTAATATATTTCGGAATTTCTCCCCCCTTTCCCTGGACTCTTAACTCTAAAAGCTTGGAGAAAAGATTATCAAAAAGACTTTTACAAGGTAAGGCTCCTTTAAATGATTTTTTTCCCCAGCTTAGAACTAAGTTAGATTGTTCATATTGCACTGGCAGATACATCTCATTTAACCGTTAAAGAAATAAAATACGTACACGACGTGTGATTTATGAATATTTTTAAAAGATATCCGGAGAATTTACCTTGCTTGGAGGGCGACCCAGGAACTTTTTACTTGAACTACAACCACGTAGCGTCTTATTCTGATTTTCCATTACACACTTACTTATTTATGCCCTTTCAAGCCGCTGTGTAGGTGCAAGTTCTAAGCCCAGAGGGAGTTCCATGCAGCTTACTCGGAGCGTTTGTTTTTATTTTGCCTCAGAGGACGCGTTTTCCTCGCAGGGAGACAGACGACCGCCGTCTTGTAGCCACATTCGCCCCTGAACCAGTGCGGCGCTCGGAGGGGATCGCACATCTCCGCTTTTGTCTCCCTGGAACCAAACCCCTCTCCCGCGCCCACGCGGGTTTCTCCCTCGGCGACGTCGCTTGGGCTGCACACGCGGGACCCAGGGAGAGCAGCCTGGTCCTGGCTCCCGGCGCCCGCGGCCGCTGCGCGCCGCACCTTCCCCTCCTGCCCGCCAGGTTCTAGGAGCCGAATTCCCGGTGAGCCCGAGGATCGGGGGCCGCTCCCTTCCCAAAGGCGCGCAGCAGGGTCAGGTTCTCTAAGCGCCAGCGGGAGCCGGACCATGGCTGCCTTTCCAGGAAGCCGGCGTTAGGAAAACTGGGGGCAGACCCGCCAGGCCTTGGCCCGGCCTCCCAGGACAGATGCGGGCTGTCGGCTCAGGCCCTCCGAGCACCCGAACTTTGCCGGGCAAGGTGCAGCTCCAACCAGAGTGTCCCGCGCGGCGCCCAGCTCCTCTGCATGGCCCCCTCCCCCCACAGCCCTGCCTTTCCCTTCCCTCCCCAGCCTCTCCTGCAGCGCCCCGGCCGCCCGCATTTTCCCGGGAGTGATCGGCAGGCTGCCGGGCGCATTGTCTTATCCCACGTTGCTGTGTCCCTGGGTCTCCGATGTGTGTGGCTGCCTGCGTGACAGATGGTGCCTCGGAAGCCTACGAGGGCATAAGAGTCACTGCTGTGTTGAAAGGAGCCTCCACGTTTGTTTAGTCATTTCCTGATGAGTTCGGAGAAGCGCTGGGGACGCGTTTGCGCTCCCGGCCGCCTGCTCCCCTTCTGCCCGGGCTCGTCTCCAGCACCCAGCACTCCCCACTTCTCGCCCCAGACCAGCGCGAGGCCTGCGGGCGAGATCCCTGCTCCCCGTGAAACCCAGATGTGTTCGTTTTCCGGGGTCATTTGTCAAGGAAGGAGAGGAACCGAGGGATGCAGAATGACGGAGTTGGTCTATGGCCGCAGGCGGCCCAAAACCGGGGTCTCGCAGGCTTGCGGTCATCCCCTGGGCCAGGCCCGCAGGCCTGGCCGGGCTCCTGCACGCCGAGGCGTCAGGCCCAGAGTGAGGCCTGGCCCAGGCAAGATGGTCCCCGCTGCGGGGCCAGCTCCGCGGAGCGCTCGGGCCTGGTGTGGGGAGGAGGCCGGGACGCGCGGATAGACCCTCCGCCACTCTCACTCGGATCAAGACACCCAGATTCTTTTTATTGATTGATTTTCTGACTCCCCCTCAGCCTCCAAAATGATGCTGAGTCCTGACCAAGCCGCCGACTCGGACCACCCCAGCTCGGCACACTCGGATCCAGAGTCGCTGGGCGGCGCGGACGCCAAGGTGCTGGGCAACGTGTCGGACCTGGAGCAGGTGGAGGAGGCCGAGGGCGACGGCAAGGGTGGCAGCCGGGCCGCGCTCTACCCGCACCCGCAGCAGCTGAGCCGAGAGGAGAAGCGCCGTCGCCGGCGCGCCACGGCCAAGTACCGGTCTGCACACGCCACCCGCGAGCGCATCCGTGTGGAGGCCTTCAACTTGGCCTTCGCTGAGCTCCGCAAACTGCTGCCCACGCTGCCCCCGGACAAGAAGCTCTCCAAGATCGAGATCCTGCGCCTGGCCATCTGCTACATCTCTTATCTCAACCACGTCTTGGACGTGTAGGGGCGGGCGCGCAGCGGGAGGCCGTGGGTCGGGACGCCGGGGGACCCGGACCCGCCCCGGAGGGCCTCCTCGGGACTGGCTATGGAGGTGGCTCCCCAGCGGGAGACTTGGACCCTGGAAGTTCTCTACTGGCTGCGTTCTCTGCAATCCGCAGGGCGACGAGGGAAGGCTTCCGACTCCGGAAGGTGGGATTGTCTGGCGAGGCCTGGAGCTGGCGGGGGTTGCTTTTCAGGCTGGGCGGACACCCTGGAAGCACCCGAGATGACCCGCCTCCCGGCCTTCCCTCCCGGTGTTAGGGTCCCTTACAGGGTGGTCGCTTCAGCCCACTGGAGCCTGGGAGTTCTTAGTTAATCTCCCACGAACCTTTACGTTTTGAAAAAAAATGAAGGCAGAAGGTCGGAGCACGTACAGGCTCATAAACTTCAGACGGCCTGGATTTTTCTTATGAACAAATCACCAAACCTTTGGAAGTGTAGAGATTTGAGGCATACGGAGGTGGGAGAAAGATTAGGTTAGAATCCAGACATAACAGGCAAACCGTGCATATTTGTTACGGTTAAAAACATTCATTGAGAACAAACAGGCATATTGTGGGAAGATTTGAGCTTGGTGAGAACTGAACCTTGAGCTATGACGCTCATGGAGACAGGAAATATCCATATTTACGTGGAAAGCGTAATATCCGACTGCTTTTCCAGGCGAAGTGCCCCGTTATATATCCAAAAACATCTCTTTGTGACCTTAAACGTGGACTCCTAGGTGCAGTTAGAAAAAGACAACCTATTTTTATTTATGTTAGAAGGAGTATTTTTTCCAAGACATTTATTTTTCAGAGTGGTGATAATTTTACTTTGGATACTCTGTGCCAATTTATTTATAGTCAAGTGTTTACACTTTTTCCTGTGGAATAATTACGTCGAACTTCCTACGTGTTTGTAGAGATTATATTGTGGTCTTTCTTTCGGCTCTGATTATATTGCACTTGCATAACAAATGCCCCACTTCTCCCTATTTCTAAACATATTTTATATATTAAGATGTTTGTTTGTTCTTGACAGGTCCTTTTGTTGTGAAGGCAGGACACTAACACTTCACTATTATAGTTTTTTTAAAAAGTGTTGTTACTCTTATCTGTAGTTATGTCTAAAAAGTACTTTATGAACTGTTTATAAGGAGAGTAGCTTCTTTGTGTGTGTGATGTTTGTGTGTGTGATGATTTTAGGAAATTAAGTTATTTTCCTAAAAAAAAAAAAGAATTCAGAAACTACTTTCCTCTGTGACAACCAAAAAAAAAAGTCTATAACCTGTAAATGTTTCATGTCCTCAGCTGTGAAACTCTGAAAATAAGGAGTGTATTTTAGAGACAAGGGGGAAAAAAACCACATCTGCTATCCAAAGATTTTAGTCTTTTTCAGGGTTTTTTTGTGTCTCTGTTGCTTTATATAATGCAATATTTTGTAGTGAAAATAGATATAATCTGGTTTCTATCTGACGAGTTTTTCATATCTCATGAATGGTGCGCTGTTTTGCATATAAATAAAGGTATTAAATAAAGCCCGCTCCTTTATTTTAAGCATAGTGTCAAAAAAATAATGAACATGCCAGCTGAGCATGAAATATCATCATGGACTCAATTCCTCAGAAAGGAACTATAAAAGAAAACTAAACAAAACCTTAACATAATTAGGTGTGGAGATATTAGATGCTCTCCCTAAACCTGGACACTGGTCCGCTTGTGCATAGATGCCCTCGGTGCGGGGCGGGGGGGGGGGGTGCCGTAGACCGTGTTTCTCTCAATGAGGACAAAATGAAAGTGTTTACATGAAAATATGACTTGAATCATGGATTCTTTGGCTGTAAGAGGAAACTTAGTAACTAACCCAAACTCTTCGAATTCGAGTGGGGAAACTGAGGCCCAGGGAGTTTAGGTCCCTGCTCTGAGTCACGTGGCTCTGTGAGGAAAAGGCCCCTGATAGGATGCGGGCTGTCAGTGCTCACGGTATTTATTGAGATCAAGGTGTCTGCTACTACTGTGCACTTGAACTTCTAACCAGGACAGAGGTTCAGGACGTGACGCCTGCAAGCGCAACACCAGGGCCAACCTTTAGACATGAAGAATGGCATCTACAAAAGCTTGTAGTTAGTATACAAATGTGAACTATTCTGGCTACAAGCAGGAGACACGAATGACTTAAAACCTGTATATGTACATGTATATACACACAGAGGGAGAACATTGTGAGCTGTTGGTCCACATCACACCGAATCTCTGGTTGCAGAGTGAAAACCACAATTATGTGGCTGCTTGGCTTCATGCCTATTAAAATATTAGGGATTATTAACGTTTTTCGCTTTTCACCCAGGTAGCTTGTAGTCAGGTTCACAGAAACCTAATAAAGGAGGCCTCACTCTCTCTTTCTATGGAGGTGCTCAGTAGGGAAGTGCCCAGGACTTCCCTAGCGGTGCCTTCTCTGGCCTTAGACCTGGACGGAGTCCTGGGCCCTGCAGCTGTGGCTGGTGATACCCTCCTTCCTGCAGGCACACGCCACCTTGGGTCTGTTTGCAGGTCTTTCCCATCTAGGACAGGAGAGACATGGCTACTCCCAGTCTTCATAGCACTTCTCTATTATAGGACGGAAAACTCGGCCTTGTTTCAATGCCAAGGAAATGAAGTCAACTTCTAACCTCTGGAGACCTTCTGAGGACCTCTCTTCCCTGGTTCATGAGCCCGACTTCCAACTGACCAACACGATTCTGGCATTGACTCTAGGAGGGACCTAGCCCACCTCCCTAGACCAAGGCCCTTGCCCTTAGAGTTGGACGTAGGGCAGGCATAGACAAAGATCAAAATTCCTTCCCAGCTACACGACCCATGTGATCCCAGGAGAGGATCTCTGCGGCATCATTTCAAGTCCAAGGCTGCTGAGCACCCTTCACAGAGAAAGGCAGCAGCACTGTGGCACTCTGCTAGAGCAGAGGGTGACTGACTCATCCTGGCACGTAGCGTGGGCTCAGCGGCTGTTCCGCCATAGGAAGGGAGTACCGATGCTGCTTTGAATAATGATGATGGTGATCATTCAGTCCTGCATTCAACAAATATTTATGGAGGTCCCACTGTGTGCCAGGCATTGTTTGGGATGCTAAAAATAGAGCCACAAATGAGGCAAACCCTACTGGAGAAGAGCAGGCCACTGATAACAAATAAAGAAACAATGATTGGTCTCAGGTATGGCTAAATGCCGTGGATGGTAGCTGCGGGTGCCGGTGGGGCTTTATTTTAGATAGACCTGTGAGGGGAAGCCTCTGCGAGGAGGTGAGCTACAAGTAGAGACTTGGATCTGCCTCCCCACAGCCTCCAGGGTTGCTGCTGCCTGTTAACCTGTCCTGTGCTCATGTCACCAAAACAGCCCATGCCCATCACTCCCAGCTCCCCACTGGCAGCAGCCTGGGCCTTCGCCCCCAGTTTGGTCTCCCCCGAGGCAGACCCGGGACCACAGTTCCTCCTGCTGCTGTGCTCACCTTCTGCTCTCTGCACCCAGCTGTCCAACATGGCCGGGGTTTTGCTGCTCCCCTGAGAGTCTAGCCCTACCTGGCTTGGCGGACAAGACCACCGGGGCTGGATATCTCTACGTCGAGAGGTTTGACTTCTGCCACTGCCCAGAGACATCCAGGAAAAAGGGACACAGGTCCTTGGCAAAACCCCCTTTCTGTGCAGGGAGACAATGGGGGGAGGCAGCTGCTGAGAGTGTGGAGGTGGGATGGGTCAGGAAAGGAAAATGAGACTGAGGACAGGGCAAGTTGGCCTGGGAAGAGGGGCGGCTGCATGGAGGTGGAGGACGAGCAGAGAATGCCTGCCTCCCAGGTGAACCCCATCCTGGGGTGTCCTCCAGGGGCCCTGCCCCATGAGCAGGTGTCACCAGGCTGCTATGATCGCGTAAGCAGATGGAGCAGGCCTCCGTAATGCTGTGACTTCCCCTGTTTCCGCCCCTGCTGTCCACCTCCGGATGCTGGTCTCCCACCCACTGAGGTACGGGTGGCAGCAGTTCCGGAGGAGGGGACACCAGCTTGAGTGCATATACAGCGAACACCCTTTTCCAGGTGTAGAAGGGCTATCTCCATTCTTATTGGTGGTAGTAGAAAATTAATACCTAACATGCATTAAGAGTGTACGATATGCTCACCAGGTGAAGTGCTTTGCACACATTATCTCATTGAATTCTTACAGCTGCCCAGTGAGGTGAGTACCTTTGTCTAACATACAAGGAACTTAAGGCTTCGAGAGGTGTCTAACTTGTCTGGAGTCATGAAGCCATGTGTGTGGGTTTATCAAAGCACTTGTCCTTACCCATCACACTCCACCGTCTTCTTTGCTAGAGGGGCAGCTGTGCCGTGCACACACCCCACCCTTGCGCCCTGCACCCCATCTCTCCAACCACGTGCTTAAGGAGGCTTCAGCTTGGGCAATGAATGGCAAAACAGTGTAGGATCTGCAGTGCAATGGCCACCCAGCCAAGGGGACAAGCAGAGGTGGGGACAGAGCCTGTGGTCCTCCGCCTGGTCAAGTGTGTGCTTTGGCTCAGAGCTAAATGGTCAGGAAGACACTGCAGGCTGGTGGTGGCCCTGGGCCAGCCCCTCCTGAAGGAGATGGGGCACGCTGACACTGTCCAGGGCATTACTGTTCACCAGCACACGGGGGTGGGGTCTGGCTCCGCAGCCCCTCCCACCCACAGTCCAGCAGGAGGGTGGTCCTCATGCTGCCCTAAGACCCAGCTTTTGAAGTTAACGTGTTACCCACTGCCTGAAAACTCTTCCAGAAGACTCCTCACTGCCTCTAGAAAATAAGACGCGGGTTCTTTCTCTGGGCACAGACAGCTTCCTGATCTTGTCCCAGACACCCTCCAGCATCATTTCAGCCTCTCTCCCTGAGATCACACGTTCCTGCCACCCCCGAGCCCCTCACTTCCCTGGAGGTGCCGGCTCCTTTGGAACCTGGGCCTTTGCACTTGCTGTCCCTCTGCCTAGGATGCTGTCTTCCAGCTTTGGCT